TGATATCACGAAAGCTTATCTGTTCCTGATTTGTCTTCTACTGTAAAACAGAAGCAGAATTCATAGTTATTTTAGGTTTTTTAAGGTCTTTGAAGAACTCTCAATGTCTCAATCAGGGCTACATTTCGAATTTCACAACTCTTGGAACTTTAAGATACCTTTAGTGGCAAAGACAAGGCTAGTATGTCTCGCTCTAGCCATCCATTCACACGAATTATACGGGTTTCAGGATCTGTTAATTTTTGTCGTTATGGAGAACAGCACAGTTCTTAGTCGTGTATCGGCGTTAAATGAAATGAAGGAAATCATATTGGGCCCTATTTGTGATGATGACTTTGTAAATGCATGCAATAATTTCTGAAAAACTATCATATATTGAACACTTCCGCTCATTCAGAGGGCTTTGGAGCTTTTAATGAAAGAAATCACATTTAGTAGACTATCGGTGACTTTGTACTTTAGTGGCTAAAGTAAATTCCCTAAGAGTACTTTCATTGTTGGGCGCTCTGGACAGGATTTTGATTCAGCTTGTGCTTTAAAGTATCACTAAGAGCATACGTGGTAGGACCGACTCGCAGCGTAGACACGATCAAATAACGAAACACTAACATTTTAGATAATTGTTTAATCAGTTAACGAAGTAGTATATAATGAAATTTGGCGTTCTGTCGTTCTTAACTCATGCACGTGCCCAATGCGGTGTTTCAACTTTGACGCTATTCTACTGTCCATTATATTTGAACTTGAAAAATCTCCTCACGCGAGAAAGGACTTTGATTGATAATATTTGTAACCTTATACTACATCATCTTTGACTAAAATCAAACCTTACTTTGTTACTTAAAAAGCATGCAAATGCCGATGAAATGTTTTAAGGAATGATTGAATTTGGCCTGCAGTCGAGTCAGCAATTCAAAAGTGTGTGATTTGGGAAATTCTCCACTTTAGTCGTAAATCTTTCGTGCATAAATTGGACTTTTTCGAGGACTAGGAGTAGGCTGACTTCACTAAGGCAAATGACAGTTCTTTCCTGTCAACTAGCTCTGCACAGCTTCCTCTCCCGACTCGAAGTTTGAGCGGACTGCGGTAAAATTATAGAAATCGCCAAGCTCGACTTAATCTCAAAGTTAGGGGCATTTTAGTCAAGCAAAGAAGGTAATTATCATCGTGGAAAGTGGTGGGAATGTTTCGATGATTATTAAGCGGGGCAATTTTAATATGGTAGGCAGAGACGAAGAAGTTTGTCTGAGCATTTAAAAATATGTTATGGCATATTGAAAGGACATACATGTGGTGAACTAGGAAATTATGTAGTTGCTTTAGATGGGGAAAAGAGCTGCGTATAATTCATAAGTACATTTTCAGATTTGCCTATGAAGAAATTAAAGACGCGAAAATGGAACATTTGCACAGAGTACATGTCCAAATTCCTTCTCAACTTTTCGGTTGCAATCTTAAATTATTTCCAAAAATATGTGTTGTAACCGCATACTCCTGTAGAGAAAAGCCGATTTGATGCCTTGAACTTTATCTACTGGTATTACCATAACTTTGATATCAATTAAACGGTTACGTAGTGAACTATCAACTCGTATTCAAACCGATCGCAGCAACCACTCATTTACTTTTCTTCGATATAAGCAAACTTATAAGCATTTATTAGTCAGATATATGTATATGTGTGTATGTAGACACCAGCACAATAAAATGATATTTTCTTCGGCCATGGCAACGGTTGCTAACACTGAACGTTGTTCCTTTTCCCCCCACTCCTCAGCCTCAGACAACACCAACTTTTTGACAACATTCACCTTTCTTGATTGCTATCTTCACATTGCGTGCGCACACACTGCATGATTCTGCCTACACATCGGACGTCTAACAGAAGAATTTGCCCCGAGTGATGGGCATGAAAGCATTTTGAGACACTTTCCCAGAGCTTTTGTTGCATCATTTTCCATTATAGTTATGCAGATAGAGCAAGCTCTTTGCACCTTTTTTCTGTATTTTTAAAGTGATTCAACAGCTCAATGCAGGTATATTCGAAGAAGCGCTGCCCAGTCCTTGCACTGTCTTTCGCAGCATTTCCTCTGAATTTGTTTCTCCTGTCAATCGGTAATATTTGTAGTAATATTATCATTTACACTGATTAAGTTTGTCTATTATTTCCCATGCCAATTCACCTTTTGGAAGGAATATTTCAAAAGATTGATTAGTTAAGAGGTTTGTTAAGACTCGACTACTATGCCACTGTCATACTTATTTTGAAGATATACTTATTAGTACACTTCATTTTCACAAACTTCCCTGATTTTGCACTTAATACGAAACGTTTAGTACTATTTCAAAACTATTTTACTTACGGTTCTTTAAATATCGTAAAATCTTACTATTCTGAAATATTAGAGATGATACTAACCAGATCTAGTTGGATTGAGGACGACAGGATCAAGACAGAAGCTGGTGAGACCATGAAGGAACTCCATCAACTCAGTGATGGGTACAGCAGCAATGAGGCGCGAGAAGAAGCAGTAGAAGAGGCTCTTGTTTGCGTGGAACATGCGCAGCAGACACTCGTGGGCGTGTCGACGCAGCATCGCCGTCACCGCGCCTGCCTGATTATCGGGGTACCCCAATCCGCTTGTCGTGCTTCTCAGCCCTCCGCCGCCACCGCTGCCGCACACATTTGGATGGCCGTGGGAGCAACCTAATACTCGAATTATTCTGCGTTAAAGAAGGATGTAAAGTTGCGGTGAGTCTCCAACCCACTGTAGGTTCTTTGTTTACAGTTGATTTTCCACTTTAGAGAGGAAAATTGAGATCATGTTTGCAAATGAGATATAGCATTTGAAACCGATTAGTAGATACTCCTAGTTGTAATTTTTACGGTACAATGATAATGATTCATCGAAATGCCTCCGAAATGACTACAGCGAAGTGGTTACTTTGACTACAACCTTATAATCAAATAACATTGTCGCCTTTCTCCCGCAGTCCCAAATAGTTGGACTGGGAAGAACAACTGGTAGACTGAAACATAGTTGCAGGTCGGCAACGAGTTTAGCATCAGTTGCCTCAGTGTTTACTTTTGTCAAAACATTTGCCCTAGTTTTGTTCCCAAGGGTGAATTTCCATTGCCTCAGAAGTGTAATGCAGATGAACAGCAATTAGCTTTGAATTAAAGACGCATAAAAGCTTGAACTTAAGAACCCTGTGAAGTGTATATTTTAGGCAAAGGGGGTGGATATTTAAAAAAAATATTTCCAATACGCTACTCCACTACGTAGTTTTAAAACGAAAATCACTTTGTTTAACATTTTGAAAGTAAAACAATGAAATTTGAACGTAATCTGTTCGTCTTGAAATGAGACCCTCTTCAATGAGCCACTTTTGAATAACATAAGTTCTATTTTGCCTTTAGAGGTGGCTCTCATGCACAGGTGCCAACTGCCTCCGTAGTTTTTGCATCAATTATGAAAGTTAAAGCTAGTTTTATTTCATCGCTCGGATACGGTGTGCTTGATTTACTTAGCATTTATCCTGCCAATAAGTATGCGACAATTTTGCGTTGAAAACGCACTTGAGGTTTTCTTGTGCTATGCACCATTAACCATGGAAACAATTCTGTTTTGAATTATTGTACTACACACATCCCTTTCTTTCTGATCCAAGTGCACTCGGCCATTAGTAGTCAAAATAAGTTCCCGCAACTACGCTGATTACCATAACAAATTCAAAACGTAGGATAAATAGCTTGGAAGATTCACGGTGATTTATTAAAATGAGGAGTTAAACATACTAATGAAGACTTAGTCCTGCTTTGTCTCGATTTATTTGCGAGGTTCGGATGCTTATTACCCAATACTTAACCATACTACTATTCCACGACCGACATTGATTACTTACTTGACAAGAATTTCCATAATCAGACCAAAGTTGATAGTCGCCTGCTGTTGCTCCTCAGCCAGCATAGCCGGTGTTTTTTCCTGTAGAGTGGTATTCTCCCCTGTTCTGACCTTCCTTTGTGGTCGCTTGTCCACAATACGAAGCCTGTTTGGCAAGAGGCGTGTTGGTTCACAAGCCGGAATCTCACCACCGCGTCGAAACGAATAGTTATTCGATTGTCTTGTGGGGATCTGTTTTCGAGACTGAAACCGCACTTGAGTCGACGCTGTGGAGTCCACGTTGAGGTATTTATCAGATTTGCGGAAGTTGGAGTGCATTTGCTGAACCCGAACGCTCCTTGTCGCACTGTTCTCTTCATCCGAGCTCATCTCTGCTGAGCGCTCGCCACCATCATCGACGGGTATTTGGCGCCGGTTACGGATTCGACCGAATGGTGTCAAACGTCCACTACTGTTAACCTTGACGAGCTTCTCCACACTGCCAATGTCGTCGTGAGTGATAATCGAGGAGCCGCGTGAAGGAACGTGGGAAGCCCTACCACCGTAGCCCGACGTATAGTTAAGTCCCGGTTGGAGTCCGAGGATAGCAACAGATTTGCTACGTGCATGTGGACCGTGGCGACCGTAAGTACGTCTACCCACTCGTGTCACTGAGGAGTGAGTGGAGTCTTCGTGCGATTGGCGATAGCATTGCCGCGGCTTCGACTGCTTCTTGGACTTGGGTTTCTTCCAGGTCAGAGCGCACAGGTCAATGAGGCAGTAGACGTTCTTCAATAGATGCTCGCCCACGCGAATGGAACTTTGAAGGTTGCAAACCCAATAGAGACCGCGCAGTAATGTGGCGCAATTTATTTGGCCATCCCTCTTGATGTAATGGTTAGACCCGGTTACTTCGTCGATCTCAAAACAAAACATACATAATTTTACCAGCAGCATAGGATACAATCAGAATTTGAAAGTGCCTTACGAACAAATGTATGCTAAAACAGTAGCCACTTTTCGATTTGATGCACAAAGGGTTAAAGTTAAATAATTGGTCAAACACATCATGTTTACGGCTCGTGAACATGAGAACCAAATAGATATTTTTGCAACTTTATTGTCACCTTTTTCGAAATTTCGTCACAACTAACGCCAATATGACCTATCGTCTTCACGCCAATCTCCTGAGCAAAAGGTTGCTAGTAATAAGGCTACCTCCTTGTCCCAATGTATTGTGTCTCATTAACTTTCAGGCTCAAATAGCGTTTACTTTTCATGACGAATGACAACACGTCATTTAAATAAAAATTAAATATGAGCCAAAATGGCAAGTTATATTTGCCATATGTTGGTGCATACTGCGATTTACTAACGAAATGAATAGGTTCTAAAGGTAGGCACAAAAATCATTCTAAAGTGAGGCTGTGCTGTTGTCGAACCATGAGAGGCTTTTAAAGTTTGCTAGACAGTTAATATTTGCAACAATGCCTATGCGACATTCCGCCATCAAATGCAAAAAAATCCTCCTTGTGTATATTACTCCACTTTTAGGTAAAGTAGAATACTTTCAGTTAAGTGCTCCTACGCAAATCAAAATTAGCATAAATTTGTTTTGTTCGCCAGTTGTAAATAGCTTCCAAAAATCCAAGTAACTGCTCTGCCTATGCACAATTTAAGGCTATGGGATTGTTAGTCAAACATTCCGATTTCCAGAGGACGATGAGAAACCTCATAACAGCACTTTGGATTTTTTTTTCACTAAATTTTCATAGGAGTTTAATTATTTTGAAATTACTTTAAGTAGAAATGAGTAATTTCCCACATGAGCATCACATCTTCAACACCGCAGGCACGTGCAACAAAGATAATGGTTACTTGACAATGGATATTTCCTAAATATAGGGTGAATTACTAAGGTTATGCAGTGAATGACCTCGACAGCATATCCCCAAACCTGTTAGAGCTTTTGTTTGCTTCTGTATATATTTGGTTTAATTAAGTAATTGTTTGTGCTTTGCGTTGTTTTTTTACAAAATAACTATAATCTGTACCTGCTGCACACTGTTGTAGGTGATGTTGGTGTCTGAATGACATCGATGGAGCAGAAATCCAAAGCCCAAGTCAAAATTCACCGAGCCAGCATCGATGGAATTTTGGCTGTCCGTAACCTCGTCCAAATTCACAGTTACGTCACTGCCAAAAAAGCGGGCCTCGTTGAGTGAGATCTGTGATTTCGTTTTCGAGAAGAGCGGTCGGCCGTCGCGCAAATCGATGAGATCGGCAACAGATTTGGGCGAAAGAGGCGTCCGATTGGATCTGCGTAAAATACTACCGCTAGCGGTATCCATCTGCTTGGTGTCGGTCGATGGCACTGTGAGAAATCCCGAGTGGTCTTCCGGTATGGATTCATCAGAGAGCGGCTTTGAAAGTGTCGGCTCATCCAGGTCTTGTGTAAAAAAATACAACACTCATCTACCTGGCTCAGTTACAGTTAACGACAGCAGCACATACATTATCATTACAGAAAAATAGCCGACCGTCAACGCTGAACAAAAATTACCGATATGCATGGATAATTTTGTTGTTTTCTTTCTGACACCGTTTGCAAATAAGTTGTTCCAATTCTCCACATTCTCCAATCATGCAACTCAACGGTTTGCATTACGCTACCTCATGGAATGTATTTTTATAATATCGCACTCGAGATCGTTAACAACAGTGGTATAATAGGGCAAGTATAACACCAATGTCGAAAGTTGTTTAAAACCGCAAGTTCATTTTCAGCGTAATAAGTCTTTCTGAATACTTGAGTGAGCCCACTCTTTTACTCTTTTGAAAAAAATAATAATCCAAAAATAACAAACACTTATTTGACATACTGGTATATTTTCAAAATCCACTTTAGTTTGAAAGTGTTAAAGTGGTGTGAATTAACCTATGCATACTCATGTTCCGTGGATGATTGGCATTTTTACATAGTTCAGCACTTGTTAATGTCTCACTCGAGAAAATCACGATTTGATCTTATCGGTACCGTTGGAGTACATTCATTCCAAAAATGTTCTCAAAAAATTGATTGAGAGTTTGAATAAGCTGACAAGAATGGACAAATTCAGACCCTTTGCAAATCTTCTAGCCTAACGCATTGGTTTGGTGGGGCCCTCCCACAAATTGTGGTAACGTGTGACAGCCGTTTTTGTCATGTTTTTTAATCTTTTGTGTGCGTTTAAAAATGCTCATCCCTGAACTAATAATTGAGTGATACACTCTTGTTCTGTGATGGTGGATTCTTTGAAAGGAACCAGGTAAAACTTGTCCTCTTACCCTGTGATGGAATGCTACTCTCTAAAATGCAGATAATAAGGTGGGCTCCATGAGAAACGTTGACACTGCCATCAAATGATGAAACGACTTTGCAACTAAACGGTCGAAGGAAAATCAGGTTACAACTACTTGCTTCTTTGGACGATTAAAATAGGATTCACCTTAGTATAATAAATTGTAAACTCCATCAATTTATCTCTTACATAAAATGAGTTTTTCTTAGTCGGGCATAACTCTAATGCAATATTTCCTTAAATATCTTTAATTCATGTACCTCTTGTCAACTATTTTTTTCAAATCACAAAACCAAGTGCATATTGTGAGGATGTTTAAAAGCAGGGTCATACTTTGATGAGTAGACAGAACAATGACATTTTGTGTTAGCCTCTTCATTAAACCATTTCTTGGTATCTTTAAGCTTCGCGGTACTAAGTACAGAACATAAATTGCGTTTCACCAAATCAAAATTCACTTAAGTTATAACTGTTATGTCTTTTTTCATCCATTTGTGCTTCGTGTAGCGTTATCATACCATTTTTAAACGAAATAAAGCAGTAATGGGGTTATTATACACTTGACTGTTTCAGTGCCACCATCGGTTTGGTTTTGCAGTATTCCTAATTTATGCTTGAAACTTTGTAGTCAGTTTAGCTCGAATAGAAACCCCACCACTTACTATTACTTCCAAGGTAATTCGTGTGCCCCAAGTCAAGTTTTCCCTTGCCATGGCGGGATCGACGGTCCTATTGATTGTAAGAAAAAACGGTTACCATTGGATTCAGCAGTTGGGTGCTTCAACCGAGAGCCACAACTTTATGCCACGAAAATAGATTAAATGTATGGAGGAAATCTTAGAAAAGTAACGAGCGGGATATTATATCAGGAAGTCCAACAGAGTGGGGTGTATAGGAGCTGTAAGTAGTGCATATTTCTTGCTTCGTTTGCTTCGACTTACTTTGATCTCAAAGACACCCATTTTTTTGATAGTTTTGCTCGACTCTAGTGAGGATTTGGGTGTCTGTTTACGTTTATAGAAAGTACCAGGGGAAGAGGTGACGATGGCATCGCTGGTGACGAAGCGTGCCTGAGAAGTGGGTGGGTCACTCGAGAAGTGGTGCAGCGTTGGCAGCGTTGTAGGCTCTCGGAGCTGGCTAGCTGGTACAATCGACACTGGCTGGCTCTCTGTGTTAGATGACTGCTGGTCAAAACTGGAGGTATTCTGCGACATGCTCGTGGACTGCTTCTCATCACCTCCAGTACCATCAACGACAAATATTTTTCGGCGTCCTGGGCATGATATTAGAGAAAGCGTATTCACCACTTTTCTGGCAATTCAAGTAAGGAGTGTAGGTGTACTAGGTGTTTTTTGTGGTAAAAGGGAAGAATACAAAACTAAATCATAGATCTTTGAGGTTTTTGGTGTAATCATGCAGCCCTGATGAGGATTTGACTAAAGACAGTGGGCCGTAAATGACAGGTTGTAAATGGTGGTAAAAGAATGATAGGCACTTTAGTTAAAAGGTCGTATTTTAATTATTCTAAATACATTCACGAGCAGAAAGCATCACTTTAAATACAGATTAAATTTACATTCATTTCTCTTGACATTATTTCATTTTTTCGAAGTAAATTTTGCGGTTGACAAAATATTGGAACGCAACATTGTTGATCAGATATCTTACTATTGCTATGCGAGGCAATATTAAAATTTAAAAGATCCAAAAATAGGAATCTCAAGTACTACTCATTTCAGAGCCTATCGCTGGTGTAAAACTTTATGGAGGCAAATGAGAATGAATAAAGTAATATTCTGTAAATTTGGCTTGTCGTTTCAGCTCTAAAAGAAAGTTGGGAAGAGACTGCCTCTTAGTTTAGTTGAAAATGGCATCCTTCTTACCGTCAGCACTGTGGCGTTCTCCATTGTCACCTTCGTCAGTGATGTCAGTGGCCGCGGTGGCTATTGAAGCTGAGCCGGTGATGTGAGGCTGGCTGGCTGGCGTAGCAGTGATAGTAGAGGTTTCGAAGGAAGGATAGTGATGGGGAGGCGCGAGTTGGGGCATGGAGAGACTGCGCAGTACTCTGAGATCGGCGGCCTGGCCAGTGACAGCATCGGCGGCGGCGAAGAAGGCCTCGGGAAGAGTGGCACGGAGACGCTGAAACCGCGAATGCGCTCTCGCCTCGGCCCTCTCACGTCGACGCTCATGGCGAAGCAGCATGAGACGCCGCTCTAAGTAGCGCAGCGCCCACACTGCACCCGCTTCAGACCACTCTGGCGAGAAGAGGCATCGCATCACTGCCAGGTCGCAGTGACTCGCCAGCACAGTATCTGTCGCCATCGCCTCCTTCAACACCGTCTGGGTCAATGACTCTATTTGCTCCTCCAGTGTTTGCTCCTACAAAGGGAATAATGGTCAAAGAACTATCAGTTTGTTTAAAATATAAACAGATTATCGTCTGTTGTGTATTCTACAAAGCTGTCAAGCAGACGCAAGTTTTTTGTGTAGAAAGCATGATACGATACCCACCAAATAGCTCCGACCAATTGTAAAACTCTCAGAGCGGTTCGACTTCGATTCCTCGGAGTCGGTATCCTTCAGGCTGACTGGACAGATATCATTAAGGCGGGCCATTGGGACCACTGGACGATTATGACTTTGCTTCAGCGCACTCGCGCTGATTGACACAGAATGCCGATTGTAACATGCTGAATCCTTCAATAGACAAATTCATGCTCCTGTTAGTAGTAGTACCTGTACTCAGGTGTATAATAAATTGATTCATTAATAGGTTCTGTGAGGGTATTAGATGAGTCTATGATATTGGTTTACAACATCATTAATCCTTGTTTATGTTTTTTAATAAAATAATTTGTGAATGCTACTTTCCTGGCCAGTTCAAATAAGTTGTTTCTAGTTTACAAGAATATCAATGAAATTATAAGCAGATTCGCAGTGCTTGTCAAAAAACCTGTGGATTATCACGGGAAGTTATCATTTCAGCATTCAGCATTCAGAACCGATCTAATTCCACTTCTCAAAAAGTATACAGCAGTGGTTGTCCTACCTGCACAGTAACAAAGCTCATTTTAGTGTCGTCTTTTAGACTCTAATACAAAACTGAGTCCCAAAGCAGTGTTTTTGAAGATTTAACAATACAAAATGGACTATGCAGCATAAACACAGCTTATTTTTGACATTCTATATAGGATTTGCGTCGAGGTTATTGTAAGAATGGGGAGAGTAGAGTGAGGTTGTCGATGACTGTTTGTGGAGGTATGTTTGCTTCAAAAGTGATTAGTAATAAACCAATGAGAGATAAGCAGCTGTCAAAGTGACTGACTGTGCATTCCGTCTGCGTGTACTTGTTTGCCTTTTCACCCAGTAGACAGGTGTATTTTTGACTGTAGGGGAGGTAGGCCTCAGTGCTCCAGGCTTTTAATTTAGGTCCCAAGTCTTAAGCTAGTTGACTTGTACCTCTCCTCCCCTTTTAAGCATGAAGCGATCAGGACGATCTAAAACTTTATCATGCATGACACAACAATACTATCAAGGATAAAAATTCCTTGATATTATTAGAAGAATGAGATCTCAGCCCATTTTAAGTCATACTGATTTGATTAGCAGGAGAGCTTCACTCATCTTTCTACGCCAAAGTACGAAAAGGGGAATGTGCTGCAAATGTGACAATAAAATCTGTTTAAACTAGCTTGTTTTTAACTGCTGCTGCTTATGTAAAACTTATTGCCGATGCATGAGACGTATGCAATTTTAGACCTCAATCGTTTAAAAATAACGATATCTTCACTGCATTTCCCTTATTACAATACAAAAGTAGTAACCATGACGAATTTCAGTTTTGCTTAGTCATAGTTGCCGCGGTATTCAGTCCATGATGGTTACTCTCATTCACCTTAATTTCTTGCTTAAGTGGAAACCTAAAATTTCGAGTAAACCTACTTGTGCCCCTTCTGTAATAAGGCGGAACAAATGATCTCAATGGATCTTACAGTTTTACTGCCTTTATTTTAAAACTTTTAGTTTTCTAGTCTACCATGTTTCAAAGTAGTGTTACGTGGTAACGAACGTCATAACGAATGTAAGCAAGCTATTGCTGATAAAAATGAGAAATTTAGAACAAAGCAGCATAAAATTCAAGCCATTTCAATTAGCCATCAGGAGGGCTATTTAACTGTTGTAAATGCTTCCAGCACGATAGTTTGGGAGGAATTTTTTCGATATAATTGAAACTATTTCAATAAGGAAATGTAGTGCCCGTGCCAAAAAATATGAATTAAAAGAAAAGACTTTTTGGTAAGTATCCCAGTTTTACGATATGGTTTCATTAATTTTTTTAGCATAGTATCATTACTAAGGTAAGAAATCGATTCGACTCGGTCGAACTCCTGTTTCAACTGACAATATTACAACGCATGATGCAAACAGTGGACAATGAAGAACAGAGTTAAATAGAACTGATTGAACAGAGGCACACTACCTCATCTGAGGACTCGGCGTTGGGAATTTTCAGATTTGGAGAAGTGGGATAGAAAGGTGTGATCGAGTGAGGCACCTGTCTACTCACACCGCTCACCGCCTCCAGTCCCCCTAGCTCGTCCTCCTCTATGAGTCCCTCACCAGGACGCTGGAAGACGGTGGGTAGGGGGCCAAATTGGTCTACGTAACTCCGCAGGGGGTTTACATTCACCTCCTCATCAAATTGTCCAGAGGGTGTTTTAACGGGCACGGGAAAGGAGCCTTCATAGGGCTGCCTGTGAAGTATCAGAGGAGCCCATAGCCGAAGACCTGACTCCAACTTCAAGGTATCAAAATCTTCACATTTGAGGCGTTCCAGGACAGGCGCAAATAAGTAGATGAAGAGCTGCAAGCTGGCGAGATCGTGAAGGTAGGCACGCTCTCGTTGAGCGTTAACTTTTGTTGGAAACAGAAGACATTAGTAATCACTTCCATTTTTAGCAACCCTACCATAACTGTTAGATTCCAAAATGATTCTCAAATATTCGTGAGGCGTTTTCCATCTTTGATGAGGCTTTAATTTTTAGTTTAATGGAAACAGATTACTGGGGAAGCCTGGGGACGCATATGGGGAAAAAACAAAGCACATGATTCTTGAAATTGCGCATTTGGATGCAATACTGAATGGGAAAGAGGAGAGGAGGAGAGATGAGGGGAGCAGGGCCTACTGTTTGTGTGTGTTTGTGTCTTACTTGGCTGAGGGTAATTCCTAAGGCGGGCAGGTGGATTGAAAACGCAAAATCTAGCTAATTAAATCCCGCTGCGAAAAATCGAACGAAACACTAAGAGATACGATTTTCTGTTCAAAGAAACCTTAATTAGGCCGAAAATCCCAAGCTTATTGTGAAATGCAAAGTACTAGTCTTCACAATCACAATCGTTTTGATGGATTTTGAAGAAAATACTCTATCAGTGCATTTAATTTAAACGCATTCCCCAAAGTGTCTTGAAATAAAAAATTATTTAAAAGCACCAACAGAGCTCTTAATTTTTTGGTGGAATTTGCCCTGCTTTGCATTGCATTTTTCAAAATAACGGCAATTCTTGAGTCATGTGCTAATGCTGAAATCCTATATTTCTCTTCTAATGCCTTTTACAACAAATGCTTACATTTGCTCAAGGGTTCCAATAAATGTATAAAGTCTTTATGGTTTTGAAATTCCCCCTCGACTTTAATGTGTAATTTTGAGTTGTTACGCAAAAATCAGGCAGGTATTGGTCAAACCAAGCAAGAATACTTTTTGTGTATGAAAAATCGGCCAAATTTACTTGCTTTGATTCTTATTGATACAGGTAAGCGATAACTTTCTGTATTTTTTTGTTTAAGCCCATGTAAATGACTTTTTGAAACCTATCCTTATAAGTTGCAATTAGTAGTGAAGGCTAAAGCATTCTTTGGTAGGTAGCAAATAGATTCCGTGGAGCTTACCTTTAAAGTTAGGGTCATTATCAGCGCATTCCGATGCTGCATCAAGGAGAAGCCATTGTAATGTGTATAGAAGTTTAGTTTCGGCCTGATCAAACCTAAGAGGTGGCCGCTGAGTGCAAGTGACTAGCTGTGTTTTTCCTCGTCCCTTAGCGTCTGTGGAAGGCGATGATTTCAAACGCTGCCGGATCATTGTAGCTGCACAATGCAACACATGCGGCAGTGCAAATCTTACAAGATGCCATCGAGGGATTGATTGTATTGACTCGCACACACTTGGTGGAAGACCATACAAAATATTTTGTACAAGTACGCGTTCAAAATTCTAAAATGTGTCAAGGTAAATTATGCGGTTTAAAATTATTAGAATAAAGCTTACATATACAGAGGGGTTTATAAAGCCAATGAATTTGGCAAAATTCCATACAAAGTGCAAACAGTCAATATAAGCTGATGAATTTTCGGAATCAAAAGTACTTTACAGGGGTCTTGATTATTTCATTAAACGTGGTGAAGGGCACTAGCTATCTGCCACTATTAAAAATTAGTGATAAAGTCAATTAAACCATTTAATACACGTGGTTTTAAGAAATTACGTTTATTAAATGTGATTTTTTAAAAATAGGGATAGAAGGTAGTAAAGCAACAGTAGAAAAGTGAGCCATAAGACGACTTGCTTAGCGACCCAATTGATTTGTTTATTTAAGCCGGAACCTTTGTATATGTCAGCGTAATAACGATCAAAGCCGTAGCAATGACCAAAAAAGCAGATTATGGGCAATTAAGGCAAAAAGCTTGCACTAATCTATCACATACGTTTAAAATTTTAGAACAAATTGAGTACTGTATGCGTATTAAAAAACAAATGAAATGAAGGCAAGAAAATATGACTCCTTTAAAAAAGCAGAAAATTTCTGGTTTCGCACTTAAACTACGTTGTAGTTAAAATGTTGTTTAGTGTATTACAAAAACTAATAATCAACGTGACCAAACTATTGTTAGAACATACAAAAATGCATTGCATTGAGAGTGCATAATCTATTTTTTTCGATGTAATATTAAGTACAGATGTACCTAATAAATGTAACATTCGAAATCTTATTAGTTTAAGCTTCAAAAAAAGAAGGCCTTGATTTTCGTCTGTGCTAGTTGCCACAAAAGAGAGCAGATGACATATTATAGGTGGCATTAGAATGGTTGAAATTATGCTAATAGCAAAATGTGAGCAACATACCAAACAAACATTGTCCCTTGTTCTCTTCGACTGTACAAATGAACTACAGCCAATCATTAAAGGCCATATCTTACCAAGTATTAGAAAGCAGAAAATTTTGTATGGATAATGGAATGTAATCCAGACCGTGCGTCATTATTTTAGAAACTTATTCACATTTCACATTTCCACAATTCAGTGACCTTTAGTCATGACACCTTGAACCATCTAAACAAAGTTTTATCAGTTAATAAAAAATGATATGTGTTTAAAATGACCAATTTTTTGTTGTTAGGATACCATTTATTCGCCAATACAAACCCTTTCTACTACCATGTAAAATGCCTCAGTGAAATCTACTGATCAATCTTTTGCTCTGGAATTTAAACGTATGTTTGTAGTTTGATGAAAGAAGTTGACAAGCCTTCCTTCCTTCAAAGAAGCTTACAAGTTTTACAATACAGCGATGGCCATAACGCCCAATTTTTCTTATTTTATTGGACCTTATTAATGTAGCTGGTGAGCTACTGTGTATAAAAGCGTTTTAAGTTTGACCTACTTCGTCAATACGTATAAATAGTTCCGTTTTCCTCTCTTCCACCTCTGGTTTCCTATGCTTCGAGCGAGAAGATTAGGGAAGGAAGGGTATCTTTTATTTGACATGCATAGTAAAAGCATGCAGGATTGAATCTAACCTTCTCTTCAGGGGTCACTTGCATCCATTAAGTCATGTGGTTGGCGTAGCCAGGCCGCTTGTAGCCTAACAGATGTATTTATACGGCCATATTCAACGCTTTTCTCGTGCTAAGCCAAAGTAGCATGAAAGGACGTATACTGTAGTGTCCTGAGACTCCCTGAAGACGAAAAAAGATAAAATACTCGAGCAGAATTTATAATTCAGCGCAGAGAAGCTATTTGGGCCATTGGCATGGCCCGAAAGGGCAGCCCACTTAGAGAGGTGCAAGAGGGCTAATTCAAAGTACAAAAGTGGCGCCTCACCAGAACCGAGGCATAAACCACTATCATATTACAGTGACGCACGATATTAGTAGCTTGAGTAGACCTACATTACTTAGGCTTGAGCAGTAAAACTTCGTTAGCATAGGAAAATATTTGGTCTGTGGCGGCTGATTCGCCCTTAAGACTCAGGTGACGTTAGTGTTAAGTTGAAAGTCAGTGTAGATTTGACATTTCAAGGAGTAGATGAACATAACATGCAATGCCTTTTCCTGTTTGTACGCCCCTTTTTCATTGCAAATTGAATAAAAGCAATACCGGTTTGTTTAAATGGGCTTCTCTTATTTTCTTCGAAACTCGTTGCATCTTTGTCTAAATCATTTGAGACTCGGTGTGGTGGTTCACAAATTTGTTTTGCCTATGTTACCTCATCACTCCTACTGCGGTGAAGTAGAACTAGAACCGGGTTTGAACTCATCACTGAGTACCAGTCTTCTATGCTTCCCAGTAAAGGAGCACTCAGTCCGCAAATTATGCTTGTAGTTGAAACCACTCAGTCGAGTACACTTCCTCGCACAAGAGGCCTGTTTAGATGTTCAAGTTAAGCCTAGAAGTGATTTTGCATCATTTGTTGCCCAGCTAATGCTGCTAAAATACTTGACTCACTTGTCCTGAGCAGATGCCAAACTACTAGTCACCGCCATTTCCATAATAGACACGCTTCTTTTAGCAGACTCGTAGGGTCCAGTTAGGAGAAACTTAATGGTGTTTTTGATGACGATGACTGGTAGAACGTATTAGAAAGCTACCATGTCATAAACAAGAGGCAGTACCCTCAAGAATGCATCTGGAATTTGGCTCTCATGTCCATGTTTCCACTAAGGCAACTAACAGTGATCAAACTGTACGGTTAAGCTAAGTTCGTACTCACTCCAGCTCCTGAGCTCGTGTCTAATGAACCCCCACCCCACCATCTCAATCCTTAACAATTCTCTTTCCCCCGAATTGTTTCAATTTTTCCGTCAAAGTACTCGTAATTAATTTGTTAACCATGCTACTACCGAAAATGGGCCTTTGAATAAAAAATGCAGAGAATTAACTTCAGTAGTCCATAATTATAAAAGGATTTAAGACGTTAATACCACTCAGACATATAATAATAATATAGTAATAGTGCAGCGCTGGCAGCACTCGCTGCGGTAAGAGTGTTCCCAAGAGGACGATGAAAAAGAGTGATGTGCGGCTCCGGTGTAGGCACCATGGGATCGGCACTTTGCAATAGTTTAGCGCAGATAACTTAATGGTCAAATTGATAAAGACTGGAACTGTGACCGCTTTAAAGGGAATGAAAACCTCTCTGAAAGATTGATAGATGTCAAGCAAATGCATTTCCGAGGTCCAGAAACCCTGAAGATTGATGATTTTGTGGTGATAAAAAGGCATTCTGTTTAGCTTAACTTAAGTACAAAACTATATCACTCACTCCTGAAAGGTTCACAGAGGTGTTTTCTGCACGAAAGGCTAACAAAATAACCACATGTAACTGCATAGGAAATTACTAGCATTCAACACCAGTCGTAGAGGGTAATCAACCACGGCACAGGTGTTTTACGGTATACATAGGGATGCCCCCCGAAGATAAAAATGCAGTTGTCCACAGACCTAGAGCAACTTACACCTCTTGCGCCATTTCTGTCTCAAATAAGCAGTTTGCGACAAGTTGGTTCAACCATTTGTCGTAAACCAATAAAGAACGCATCGTATACACACGACCCCGTAGCAAATGCACCAATCGCTAACCAATAATATCTAAATGATCCAGCGGGAATATCTACACGAATTTCCAAGACGGAACCCACAGCCCACCTGTGAACCACACGAACAATATGAAGTACAGACATTTACAGTACTGCCTCAAGGTGGGCCAAGTAATCAAGGATCAAACGTCCCTCTCCTTCATATCACTAAACGCAGGCCATAGGCATACTTACCAAAACGAATACACAAATTTTACGAGCAAGCTCAACAGGTAATTCGAGGCCGGAAGCCACATACACCGCCACCAACGTCCCAATGCGAAACAATCGCCAAGAAACCTACCACCACTTCAGAAATATCAGGAGTACCGTCGCGAGAGCATGAACGGCCAGATGCGAGCAGGATAATAGAACCACCAGAGCCAAAATTCAGAATAGAAGATAAAATAAGACCTCCCACCAAATCTTCGAAAAAAAGTGGTGCTGTTTAGCAAAAAATTTACTTTATTAAAACACCATTAGAGAACACCTACGCGTGCTGAGGATTAGGCTCAGAAAGCACATTCTCAGATGTAGGCTGAACATCCGTACGGGGACGACGAAAGAGGATGACGTGTGGTTCTGGTTCATGAATCATGTAGTGAACCCATCCGACGGATTGTTGAATCCCCAGTGCGCGCCATTCCCGCTCTGTCATTAGACGATGTTTCGGAATTCTGCTAACCAATTCCTTTGGCAAATGGACGTGCCTTAAGACAAAATAATCCGCATGTATACGTTAGCGGTGAACTGATGTGGAGCAACCGTTGAGAGTAAAAACATACTTAAGAGTTGTGCCAACCCCTTTTTCACCGAAGTATTACAAACAGCAGCCAATAAATCCAGACAAAAAGATCGAGAACTGACGTACCGGTATTCGTAAACGTCGTCATAATACTTATCCGAGTAGTATATACTCCTATCAGCCATGAAAAAGCCAAAACAATTCAAATGAAGAAGCAGCTATAGTTTACTGGACCCGCACTCTCTGCCTCACCAAAGTCCCAAGCACTTAAACAAATCGTCAAAAGTCAACTCAAACCTAAATTTCCAAAATAAATTTATCCGAGCATCAGAAAATATCTGCATATATAACAAAATTACAGGGACTTACTTTAAATTACATACCACCGAACAATATCTGCATAATACGGAAGGTTATGAAACGTACTTCAGTGTTTCAGAAACAACTGATAGATTTGACTCTTGAACTAAATTTTCATTAAATATGCCTGCAGCACCCCGATACTTCACCAAAGGTGAAAAAAGACGTAACACTTAGGCAGAATATCAATATTTGACATACAGAAAGTATTACTGCTACTGGCATTTCTTGGAGGCCAGCCCACCTGGTGAAGACGCAATCGCTAAGGCACAAAAGTAACCCTCTGGCAAAACCGACAATTAATGAGACAACCAACGTATTCCGGTATCTATTCACTATTGCCATAACAAAGCAGAATAAATGAAATCAGATGGGCTCCAAATTTTTATTCAATACGTAATTGCCATAATACTATTAGTTAATTCATTATTTCTTCATTGTAGATTTTGCGCAAATTGTAAATGCTGACATTTACGTTTAGCACGATAGTGTAGAAAACTGTCAAAATGTGTCTCACCAGAATGAAGAACCAGTTTTAACGTATAGAATGGCCGGAAGGCTACGGATACGCCAGGCAAGTAATAAATTGGCACCATACGCCATTTATATTACCGTGTTTCTAAAAATTTTAGTTAAGTCGCTTTTATGATGATATGGAGGCCCTAAGTAGCGTTCGTATCTGCCTTTTTCTAAATATGTTGCTCAATTTTTAATCACATCACATTCTTTTGACAGTCTAGGGGAAGTCTTTGCGTATTTCTCCTTAAGTCTCACCTGAAGTCGTAATAACCCAAAGTATGGAGGAGAACATGTGCTAGCTCGGATGCCATGCCGTAGTGGAAAACAACCCAGTGAAATCAAAGTACCCACATTGCTTAGCTTAAGTAAGCAAAAGTTAAATTTGAAATGGGGGATCCGTTTTCCTCCCCTAGAAGTCAATATTTTTTCGTCCAATGTTTATGAAGGGCATATTGAGAAGCTACTAAAAATAGAATAATTAAGGCAAATCAAATACGAATTGATCGGTTTTCTTAAATTCATACTTGTAGCTAGGTCAAATGCTAATTATATTAGAATTTTAAAGGTATGTCTAAATCAGTATCTTTTAGTTTGGAAGCACTCAATCAAAGGTTGAACTGCCTCAACAGCAAGACCATGATAATTACCAAGTGATTGGTATCCGTGTTTAGACTGTTCCTGTAAAAGCACTTATTCAAATTCATTAAATCTCTTCATGCTAGGAGTTTTGCCTTTTTGGTACTGCACATTACCGAAACATTTTAGCGAAAAGTAATGTTTTGATAAAAGTGCCACTAGTTGGACACTTTATGTTAGCTTTAACTAATCACGAAACAAGATGCGTTTCTTTACCTGCAATATTTTTTTTTATGATAATCTTGCTGCAACACTAAAGGCAGTTGTCTATGTATAGTGGAATAGTAGTAAACGAGTTGTGGAAGTAACAAGCATTGGTAATGTTAGTAAATAGATAAAGTCGAATTAAATGGTCGCTTTAATTGACTCCTATGCGTCATCCCATCATGAATCGACTATCCGTGGTGAAATGCGTCGGTTGAGTTTGGCCTCGGCCTGTTCCCGTTGACATTGGATCGAACCTCGATGAGTTGTACATGGTGCGGGCTTGGTAGTTCCCCTGCACTCCCTGCTGCTGGTGCGCCGGAGAGATGCGCCAACTGTTGCTGCTGTTAGTGGTGGTGGCGGTGGCAGTGTTGGGTTGTAGCTGACAGTGGTGACGGTGATATATAGGATAGCCGGAGAAAACTGGTAGCTGACCCGGACTATTAGGTCCAACAAAGTCGTTACTGATTCCGTTGTATATCAGAGTGTCAAGTGGGTTTTCAGCTCTGCTGTTCGACAAGGCCTGTGTATCTCGATCCCCCGTCTTAGTGATGTTAGGTCGCTGATGGTGGTGATGCTGAACCACCATATGCATCAAATCCCCACCACCACCACCACCACCACCACCACCACCTCGAATTACGTTTGCGCCGGAGGCGTGGCTGACAGTCTGGATGTGCTGGATAGGCATTGACGTCTGCGATTGTAATCGCTGTGATGCTTGATTGGACACCGACTGCAGACTTCGCGAATCAACGCAAGCCTTCTCAAGCTGACGATTTAGTTGTTCTTCTAAGTCGTCATTGTCCTCCGGTATGAAGGCGTCTTTTGGCTGGTTGGCTGAGATCGCAGCACGCAAAAGCGTCAGATCGCTTGGCTCCATGCCGTCCGGAAAGCTGAAAACACTCTTCACCCCTCCCGGTCCGACCTCCTCGGAGACGAGGTACTTTTTGATGGCTTCTCGTTGGTTACCTTGGTCTCGGTGAATTGGTGTGTCGGGCAGGACCCCACAACCAGTTCCCGGACCGCAGCCACATTCCCTCGAAAAGGGATTGTGCGATTCACGTCTGACAAGAGCACTACTCTCCTGATTCAGCGAATGCTGGGGATTCAAGGGGTTCTGGAAGGGCGGGGGGTGATGGTTGCTGGAAGCGTTCATCTGGCAGATGCGTCCCACCCCGCCAACACTGAATGTACTCTCACTTGGTCCACTAGACATAACTGTGCCGACGATTGAATGCTGCGGTCGAATATCAAGACGTCGGAGGGGAGTTTCTCGGAGCGGGCACCAATGTCTGACCGAGTGATCCATGCTGCTCGAATTTTTGACGCGCCGCCTGAAAGTCACGGTAGTCGTAGGTTGTCCTTTCATCCACGTCTGATTCGAACGTGAATGGAGGCTGGAAGTTGTTGGCCATGGATTGTTGAGCGTAGTAATTTCCATGATGCATGACCTGGTGGACTGGAGAACTCTGTTGGTGCGAGTCCTGGTGGAAATTATGGGCGTAGCAAGTGTTCGGATTGCGATTTGCGCGAGAATACATCATGATCCGCCGATCAAGTTCCTCCTCTCCCTGACGCTTGCTCTTTGAGATGGATGTGTTGAAGGGGTTTTGACGAATGGCAGAACTATTCGCTGGGATCTGTTGTCTGGATTGTGAAAGTGGGTGCTGTTCAGAAGGAAGAGAAAGTGGAGGTTCGTATTTGGCCTGTTCCACAATATAGCTACTTGACTGATCCCTCACGATGTTTGTTAGACCAGGAAAATAGGTTTCGGCACGGATAACAATTTCTTCAAAGGGATCTTCAGTCGTTTCAATATAACTCAACTGTGGTCGTAACTTCTCATACCGTTTCCTACCGATTGCCCTGGTAGGATCGACTTGTGCTGCCTCGATTGACTCAAGCTCAGCTTCTGAGGCCTCGGGAGTGGGACTTCGCTGATTGTTGGTGGGCTTTTGAGACGTTGATTGTGCACAAACAGAAGTATTGCTGGTTGGAGGATCACGAACTCGAAAAATCATCCGGGTCCTGCGGCATAAGACTCCTCTTCTGCCTAAATGGCCTTATCGGTTGTCGGGTTGCGGACTTAGAGACACTCGTGTGTGATTGGTCATTCAGATGAGGCTATCCGACTCTGAATGGCTCATGGAAATAGCACCGAGAGGGTGTCCGCGCGCATGTGTGACGGAAGCGTCGACAACTACGGTGGTGACCCCTTAACAACGCAATAATCGCTATTTGCGCAATGCGAACTTGCGCGAATTTACTTTTGACCGTACTCGCACACATACGTACGGAAGGTTATAAAAATTACTAATCATCTGCACCGCTTGTAGATAAATAAAACTGATCATTCATTATTGTAAGATGCAAGAGGCGGAGAGCATTAAAACAGCAACTTTTTCAATAAACTCTATCTATCTTTACTGCAAATATTCAAAAAGAATGTCGAAACAGTAATGGGATGGTATTTCATCACTAAAGCGGGACATCATTTCAAAACCACATCATTATCGACCATAAATTCCCAAGTACTAATACTTCCATGCATTCAGATTTAGTACGTTTACGGATCTTCTGAGAGGTAAATCTGTATGCATAAATATAAGGGCTTGAATTCAGTATGAATTCTAACATGCTGCTTATTAAGTGGAAACTATGAAACCAACTAGATATTCAGTAATTCAATAATTTTTAATTATCAAGCTAGGCCATAGGTACCACTTTGCAATATTTAAGGGCATTTTATAGTGAAAGTACAAAACGTCCCCCAATTCTCAACTTCAAATGGCCTTGGTTACAGTCTTACGATCAACGCCGAATATGAGTATCATGCCCACCAAATCACGACCAGACGCTGCTTGATGTCCCGTCAATCGCATTTACTATTCAAAGGAGGTGGATCGAGATGTGTGTATGCCAAACCACTGCTCTTGGCAGCAAACTGATTATTCCTATTCAAAATGCCGTGGCGACGACAACAAATTCGCACAATTCCCAAGACTAATACTACGATCATATGGCATTCCAATCACACCCCAAATTGCTGACCATTATCCTGGAGCTTAAAACGAAGCAGACGTGAAATGTTGGCATAATCTGGCATTGCACCCAGCAGTAGCCAACACGCCTCAGCGAATCGCAAGCTGAGCACATCGTCGAGATCCGTTTCCCAATACAACCACCCTACGATCACAAATATGTACGGCTGAGGATTATAGCAGGGAGGAAAAACTAGAAACTCAAGCAGACCAACCGAAGTGAAACACAATGACCAACCATTGAGCCTACGAAATTTGGCTGTACAACCAATGCTTGATTTCCTGGAGACCTATTTTGACTTAAAACACTTAAACTATCATTAAAATTAATGGGCTCCGATCTGGGCAGAATCCTTGATCTGCCCAAGGCAGAACCTTCATTCTCTCCAAATGGGAATTAAGGTGAAATATATCGACTTTATTTTCGAGAGCAAACTGCAGAGAGGGGGAAAAAATTACAGTACATTGTCATTCGATCAAGATCAGGAGGGTTTCCGAGCGTCATGCTTCAGCTTCACACCTTCTCCATGAAATGGTTTGAAAAAACCATCTGCGCCATCCTAAAATTTGATAATATTTACACCTGAATAATTCGTGTGACTGAGATTGTATGAGTAGAACTAAAAAGCTAGCTATCATAAATCAGGCGATTACTAAAACAGGTAAATTCATAAAACATTCAGATTTAATAATTCTTATTCCCTACTGATGGGAGCGACCGAAAACTTTTGTTCCGCGAGCAACGAGTAAAAAAGAGAAAGAACAATGATAGTAATAAAAGAAGGTGGGAATCTTTCACATACGTCTGCCTTCTGTTTGGTTACTCGCAGGAAAGTAAGGCTACCCGGTTGGTATTCAAAGTTCGGTACTCCTCTGAAAGTAAAATCACGAATTTAATCCCAAAAGTGAAAAACGACCCAAAATAAAGTACCTCGTCACCCGCTGGTTCAGTTTAACTTATTGTGGGCGTGAGGAATAGAAAGCTCAAGTATTTTCGATGAAAGGATCCTGATGCAAGAGGTAAATCAAAAGCCGGATCAACACACGGGATTAATATGATCAATACATTATTTTAAGGTCAATGGTTCACCTAACACCAGCATCACAGATTTTACCATAATCGATTGAAACTGAACAGTGCCTTGCAGAAAATCCAAATATGCGGTTACTTATCTACTGACCAGCTTCAGAGTCAGGTAAAGGTAAATGTTCAACATTAAGAAAACTAATGTGGCAAAAAATAGATTTCATTTGGGAAAAAAGATGAGGCAGGCTGACCGTTGTGAGATGATATGACCCGCAGATGCTGAGGCGCCTGTAGTAGACTCACAGCTTCGGCCATCCAATCTACAGCCCATACCACCGAAAATCTAACGAAGTAAGCGTCTTTAAACAAACCGAAACAGTTTTTGCAGCGGAATTTCAAGTAGCAAATGTGAGTTCTGGTTCTCTCTTCAGAACAACGAAAAAAATATGCGGCAAATTTGACAGATTTTGGACCATCTGATTATTAGGCAAGAAGACGTGGGTCTTCTTTGATGCCAAACCTTTGCAAACATGCTTTATTAAAGCATCAAGTGCGGGAGCAGATAAGGGAACTGAGCAGGATAAAGAACTTGAGTACCCTCAATCCTTTGACTCGCTCCGGGATGAGAGCCTCGTTGTCCTCCTAACGAATAATAAGCATAATAATATTGTGAAACTACGACGTACTTAAAAGACATATGGGAGCAAGTAAAGAAAAAAACCATACCTCAGAAGCTGATAAATTTTTCTCCTTGATTCCATGACTGTCTTCATACCCCACAGGTGGAGCAAAGTCAACCTAGAAAGTGGAAAACCGGTTAGGCTTGTTGTAACTGCTCAGTGAAACAAGTAGGCCTACTGGCCTAGATTTTTAGGAAATCCAAAATAAAAAACGATGACGCCAGATTGTTAATTTTGTTATGGAAAACCAGATACGATGCATAATAAGCGCAATCGATGGTTCATTACCTACTTTAGGGAGGATTAAATGTAAAATGGAAATCAGTTTGCATTTTTGGACGATGAGGCAGCAGTAACTTGAACAGCAGAATGCAAATGGTGCAAGCATTTGTTACCACTAAGAAATACCGAAATTAAAGTTCTTACACTCATGTCGCATTCGATGATTCGAACGGCACTCTTCGGTTGCAACTCAAGGACTTTGAGTTCATACATTGTATCATTGTAAGTGATCGCAAGCGTATCGCCCACCGTGAGGCAAGCGAATTTACGCAAAGCGTACTCCAATCTGCGAAGAAATGGAGCAGTCGCTACTAGATTTGAATGGCACTAGTGCAGCTAAAAACCACCTGAATTTTGTTCATTAATGTCACCATGCTTTATATGGATGGATGAATGAATTGATAAAAAAATGAGTAAATGAAGGAATGAAGGAATATGAAGTACTACCATCCCAAACAGTATGGAGAATTCATTGTACAACCCCATCCCAGGGGAATCATAATCGAAAAAGCATCTCCATGAAATAAGTACAAATATTGGACTGATTTGAATTTTGTCATTAAAAAAGAGGCGGTTGTAGGCTGTACAGATAGGCTTATTTTATCATATGTACGCAAAACAACATCAACACTCCTGTCCAGTTTTTGTACTAGTTCAAAAGAACGTGGGTGAACGCGCTCTAAAGTTAGTTATAACCCGTAGGAAATAATAACAATCATCAGAAAGGCAAAACAATAATAATTATAAACAAAAACGGCCCTAACCTAGTGCATTACTTACCGCAGTATGACTAATATGCTAATATGAATCAAAACACTTGAAAAGAGGCTTCTTCTCTTATAAACCTTTGCTCTATTAAAATAATAGATTCCGATTAGAATACTGGACATACACAGCCTTTGGATTTGATATGTCGAGGAAAGACGTGGATTGGGGTTGGAACTTGGCGAAAGTGGCAACTGGTAAGACAACACTTTTCACATGAACCAAATCCCCTTCTTCAAGGCAAAGATTCTGCAGCATCCAATAAGGCACATAGATTCTACCTTCGTCGGCGACAAATTCAAGCACACCACAATGGGTGCTTCTATCGGCCGCAGTATTGGTTAATTTAAAGGTCATTGGGTTAAGAGCGTTTAATCTTGCTATCGAAAGGTGGATGAAAAGGACAGGGCTTACTTAGATGCTCCAAAGCCGACGGTGGCATGAGAACTAGAAATAGCGCAGATATAAAAAATAAAAAATCCTACTTTTGCCACCGTCCATGATGTCATCACGCGCTTTTCCAGGCGTAAACGAGTGAGAGTAGCAACGATAGGAGGTTGAGAATGTCGAAGCCATATGGGGGAACATAATGTCAAACTAGGAAGATCACTATTTGGAAGCGCTTACCATCTTTGAAAACCTAAAAAGCGCAAAATGTTTTTATGCAACATATATTACAAACGACCACCAAAAATATTTAACTCCTAAGGATGTAAGATTTGTAAGTAGATATTGCGTTATAATTCAACCTAGTATCACATGAAATAATCAAATGTATGTCTGGCAAATCTGAGTTGCAACTAGAGGAATATACTGAGGATGAACATATGAAGGGAATAAGACAGTTTTAAATCACATCTTTGGCGCATTGCAATGCCAACACACAAAAATGGCACTAATTACTCACCATGTACGTCTACCACTTGTATATTCCTTGCAGATAAGGAAAGCCCAAAAACTAAGTAAATATGGCATGCATGAGTCCACAGAAAGCACGCTTCGGGGAACACAAAAACAACAAAGGTAATATGGAAGACCCCGCATACATAAAAGGTGTTACCAGATTATACGTTAAGGCAAAAAAGGGCGAAAAAGATTGAAGAAAACTGGTTACCGTATTCAATGTGCTCTAAAGGCGCGGGATCATGCCAAACAATTTAAATAAATTTTGAAGCAGGATCCAAATTAAGTCCACCCTTAATTGTTTGTGCAAAGATGACAAAAAGAACGTGATGCAAAAATTTTCGTGATAGCCTGTGACCTAATAAATTGTTGGTTTACCAAGCATGTCAAAAAATCGTAAAATGCAAAGAAATGCTTAAATAAATAACAGATCAAGAAAAAATTTTGGATACGCTTTCCTTGCAATCCACATAGACAGTATTGTTTTGACGCTGAGCTGGCTGAAGTGTTAATTGCATGGTGCATCCTCCTCTATCTACCTTTCAAAATCATCGAGAGACTATTTAGTACCTCTAACTATTCTGTTTTTATAGCATCTTAGCTTTCTGCTGGTAAGACCACTAGGCGAAAATACTTATTTTTAGCTTCTTAGGTTGTACGGTGGATTTGGTTTAGCTGACAATGAACGCTTCGATACCTATGTGGCAAACGTGAAAATTGTATAGCGCCCCAACAATTCTCTGAAGACCAAGGAAGATATTGTAATACGATAGCAGTTCATCCCTCGGTTCTGGTGAGGCGCCACTTTTGGACTTTGAATTAGCCCTCTTGTACCCCGTTGGGTGGGCTGGCCTTTTGGGCCATGCCAATAGCCCAGACACCTTCCCCGTGCCGAATATATATATTCTGCATGAGTATTGTGTCTTCTTTCGTCTTCAGGGAGTCTCGGGACGCTACAGTATAATACCAGGGCAGGGTGTATGTATTTGGCGTACAGAAGGCACTAGGACTTCTTAAGACGGCCCGAAGGTCAGCCAACTCTGCGTTGTACAGCGGTTGAGACGAAGTGACCCTTTTCCAACACCGACCGTTGAACTAACCCCCTCCGTGTTGCATAACCCGTCCCCTCTGTTAAGCATCGTTCCTGGGGCTCTTCCTGGTCAGCCATCCCGAGCTGGCCGTGCCAGTCATCAAATCCCCATGCAACTGAGGAGATACTTAGCCGCAACGCCACTTACCCCTCTTGGCAATTTAAATGGATCTATAATTTAGTCTAGTATGGGAACTGAATTCAGGAACGGGGTATTGTGCCGGCCGTCATGAGTGTTCATAGGTAGACATAGGAACAAAGGCCTAAAAGTATGTGGGAGGGGGAAGGGTTTTGCGCCTGTTCCTACTTGCCGCGTTGTTCTCACTTCGGAAATGCATGGTCATATTAATCCGGACCCCATTCAGGCAGTAGAGGAAACGAGAAGGCATCGTGAATTTACTTTGTCGACAGCTAGTGGCTAGTGCCACCCCAGTATTTAATAGCTTTCCCGAAACACCTCGATACTTCTCAGAAGACGAAAGATGACGTAAAACTAGGGTAGAATACATGTGATCTACATATAGAATGTATGAGGGCTGCTGGCACGACCCAAAGGCCAGCCCACGCGGTGAAGTACTACGACCAAGTCGACGTAGCTCCTAACCAAAACCGACCGGTAAACAAACAACCAACATTACAACTGCTCTAGGATAGTGTAGCAAAGCTTTTTTGAAGAGGAACAAAGACAAATAGTGGGGCACAACACATACAGGACGAGGCTCGAAGGTCCCCTCTCCCTTGGTCCTCATACGCTTAGAACACCCAGGTTGGTTTGATTTTGTTTATTAGGGCGAGTAAATGGGGGAAGCGAGTACAGAGTTTAGGGGGTGTGGACACGTAACCGCTCTCCGGTTTGACAATGCTAGGATCGGAGCTCCGCAGTTTCCTAGGTCTGGTAAATTACTGCCGGCGTTTCGTAAAGGGTTTTGCTAAGATCGCCAGCCCGTTACATAAATTAACTGAAAAGCAGGCAAGGAAGAATTTTAAGTAAAAGAGCATGATGAAGCGTTTAAAGAACTGAAGCGAATGCTCCGCTCCGATCCTAGCGTTGCCAAACTTCAATTCGAGTGCCCCACCGTTTGCACCGGATACGGACACGAGCGATGCCGCAAAGGACAAAAAAGGAAGGGAACGGGTCATCGGCTACGCGAGTACACGGCTCAGCAAGAAAATGAGACAGAAAAGTGCGACGCAACGTGAGCTGTTTGCTAGCTAGTCAATGGTTCGACACTTCAGACATCACCTGATAGCGAGGAAGTTCATTGTTAGAGCCAACTATCAGGCACTCA